GTGTTTGTGTATTCTTGTTTGGATATTATTTGTGCAATTGTTGGACAAAATGACTTGATGTGGTATTAATTGCACTAATAGAGCATCCAAGGAGTCTCCACTTCATTATTTTCGGTAAGTAAAATTATATTTATGTATTTTAGGTCACTGCCGAGCTGAGCTTAGATTTTAACATGTACTGTTTAACCATGAAATTTAAATGTAATAGGGTAAAACCCAGTGCATTTAACATGATGCTGCACTTTAGAAAATGGGTTGAAATATAACATGTTGTTGGAGCTGGGTTCCGACTATCGGCTTGTGGAGCTCTCGGGAGACCGATGTTTTCCACCCGTTTCTCCCCTGGCTTCACGGCTTCTGTTTGCTGGGCGGAATGCCGGCTGTTTCTCCCTACAACTCGGCGCATCTCTGTCTGATCGCGGCTTCTGTGTGCTGCGTGGGCTGCCGGCTTGTGGAGCTCTGGGATGGAAACCTTTCCACCCGGTTCTCCCCAGCGGCAACTCTGCGCATCTCAGATCGCAGCGGCGCTTGTCTGCTGTGCGGCTGCCGGCTTGTGGAGGTCTCGGAGACCTCTGTGTTCCACCCGGTTTTACCCAGCGGTCAGCCCGGCGTATCTCTGACTCAGAAGCTCTGGTGTTGTGCACAGTTAACTCCGGTTGTAGCTAGGTTGCTACCTCCGTTAGCTTAGCTCCCACCTCCGCGTTAGCTTTGGGTTAGCTTCAGGTTAGCTTGTAGCTAGTTCGACCGGGTGTCGTCAGTTGATCCCAGCCTTACAGCCCCACCCTCAGCTCCTCCTCTCTTGCCTTTTGTGGAATTGTCTGGGCTTGATGGAACCTGTGACACGGTCAAAATGGCGGTGGTGGCCACCTCCCACTTCAACTCAAAAACGTGTTATTGGAGCCTATGGAAAGGAGATGTCCAGTGTATTTATGTCGATGGTATGACCTGGCGCCTTTATGTAGGAGTGTGTTACATAATCTTGGCTAAACTGAAGTATAAATAGTCTCATTTCTGGATTTACATAGAAGGCCCAAAGCCCAGGTCCCTAACAACATACATTTTGAATTTTTTCTTCTGTCACAAAAACACACACAAAAAAAAATCCATGCAATTAATGACAAATTGTGACATTTAAAAACACATAATGTAAGAATGAAGTAAGGATGACATCCTGTGGTCAGAATTAGGTACTGCAGTCCATTTCCAAAGCACACCAGTCACTTTCTCACTCCCGTTTTAAGTTTCATTGTTGTTGGCAGTCAGAGCCAGAAGATTCTAGATGATGAGCAAATACAAGTCATACTCAGTAAGTTAGGTAGCTAAATACAGTTCACTGTAATATCGAGTTGTTGGTGACTGAAAAACAGCAGCTCGAGATATTGTTAGAGCCAACTACTTTTTCTAATTCATTGTTGGTATCTCAACGTTAGGCTCTAGCCTTCTTTACCTGATATTATAGGAAAACAAAAAGATGCCGTGGCATTTTAGGGGTGCAAGAAATAACTTCTGGGTCGCTCCTGTTGCTGGCTTAGGATCTTTGCCAAACACTGCTGCATTTGGCAGGCCAGTGTCGAATTACAAATGCAGACGCTGCAGCAGACTCAGCAACCCTGTTAGCACAGATTGTAAACAAAGACTACATCCCTCTTTGACCTTTTTGAAAGGGAAAAGCTGTTAACCACCCAGCTGACTGAGAATGAGAGCACTCCTCCCAATATGATTAAGACATTAGATCGTTTTGAGAAGTCTTACATATTGTACCTTTAAAACTAGTTAATGAAATGATAATAATAAAATTTATTTGTAACGCACTTAGGGCTGCACATATTGTAATTACATCGTTATCGCGATATCAGCATGCACAATATGCATATCGCAAAGAACAGATAAATTGGGCTGCATGGTGGCGCAGTGGTTAGCACTGTTGCCTCGCAGCATGAAGGTTGCAGGTTCGAAACTCGGCTCGACTGCGGCCTTTCTGCGTGGAGTTGTGTGTTCTCCCCATGCATGCGTGGATTTCCTCCGGGTACTCCGGTTTCCCCCACAGATCACAACATGCCCTATAGGTTATACATTGCAAGTCGCTTTGGATAAAAGCGTCTGCTAAACGAATAAACATAAACAAATACCACAACGAATGGTCAGCTCAAATGTTTGCTACACATAACGCATTCTGTCAATCAAACGGAAGCATGTTTTTTTTTAAACAAATCAAATAGAGCTCTTCACCTGTTTGGCCAATCGGGTGGGTTCTCATAGGTCAGATGCAATCTCAAAGTGCTACGTGATACCCAAATTCCTCTTTGGTTATGCTAGACTCAGACTAGCAATTAGCTTGTCAGTCCCGTCAGATTTAAACCAGGGCTATCTACAAGACATTAATTTTTCATGACCATTCTATATATAACTTATTCAAAACATCTGAAAAGTTTCTTTAGTTATCAAGACAAAATTAGAAAACTACTGGATTAAATATATAAGCCCTAGATCAGGAGTGTCA